GCAAATAGTTATTGAGCTGTGTGCCAAACACAGGGTTTGAAGGCAGGTCAAGGGAGGGCCTGCTCTTAGGAGCTTAGAGCCCAGTGGGGAGCTGCTGAATCTTCAGAGAGCCCAGGAAATATAACCTTGTGCTTAAATGGTTCACCATGACCTTAGCAAGTACCTGGTAGATGCTGGATACACAGTAAACCCAGCTTTCCAGCCATCAAAGCACCAGTCATGGCATGAGCCATTTTGGATGTGCCAGCCCAGTCGAGTCCCCGGATGACTGTAGCCCCAGCCAAGATCATGTAGAACAGAAGAGCCACCCCGCTGAGCCCAGCCAACCATAGACTCACGGGAGATGATAAAATGGTACACTGAAACAATTTTCAATCTTTAAAAAGTATTTTTATTGATTTTGAGAGGGGAAGGGAGAGGGAGAGAGAGAGAAACATTGATGTGAGAGTGAAACATCAATCAGCTGCCTCCTGCATGCCTCCTACTGGGTGGGGATCAAGCCTACAACACAGTCACGTGCCCAGATTGGCAACCCTTCAGTGCACAGGACGATGCCCAACCAACTGGACCACATGGGCCAGGGCCAATTTTCATTTTTTTCAACAACAATTTTTACCGACTTTTCAGAGCCCAAGTCCCTGCTATCTTTTTTTAAAAAATTTTTTTTATAAAAATTTATTTGAGCCAAAAATAAGATATGCCTGGAAGCAAAATCTCAACAGATTGAGAAAAATTGTCCCTGCTGTCTTTTCCTTTCATTGTTTACCTCTCCTCCTTCCCCTCTTAACTCTCCCATCACACAAGAAACGCTATGTATGTCTTTACCCTATCCTTCCACGCCTCTAGGGTCACCTGACTGCATCCAGGCCTTGTGGGCTATGGGAAGTAGGACAGGGTGGGCTCTGGAGAGGGAGGCAAAGGTCTAGGAAGGTTCTAGAAGACTTCTGAAGGCCTTGAGGAAGGTGGAATGATGAGCAGCCATCTGTATAACCGGAAGCTCAAGTCAACTCAGTTCCCATGTGCTCTGTGGCAGGAGCTGAAAGTGAAGAGCAGGGTGAGACCCAGCCTTCTGCTCCCAGGGGCTCTGAGGCCAGTGGGAGGGACAGACGTGTAAATCAGCACCCGGCCTGTGGTTGGGTTCACAATACCACAGCAGCGCACTCTATACCGAAAGGAAGACTCTGGTCTCAGGTGCCAGGGGAGAGAGATTTTTGCTTCCTGCACTTCGCTGAAGAGCAGCCACGACAACAAGGAGAACACAAAACAAACACAAACTCTCATTTTCAAAGAAAGCAGGAGACACCTGTGACCCCAAACCACAGCACAGGCAGGAGAGCAGGGGGACGGGTGGTAAATGATTTAACAGCCCCGACAGGCAAGCCAACCTGCCTGCTGTTCCCTGGGGGCGGGGCGGGGCGGGAGGAGGGGCGGAGCCTGAAGAGATGCAAACCAACTGGCCTGGCAGAACCCCAGGAGGCTCCCAAGGAGGGGCTCAGACACCACAGATGGCGAAGTCTGTTTCAGGAGCCGTTGGACTCCAGGTCTTCCCCTCTGCACTGTGCAGCCAGGCGACCATCCTTCTCTAAGCCCGGGCGGGGAGATTCCAGCCAGAGACTTCCGGACCCAAGGCCACTGGCTACTGGCTACGGGCATGTGGGGGTGAGACCCCAGGCTGCTTCCTGTGGGGGGCGGGGGGGGGGGTAGATTTGATGGTGCTTAGCAGGTAATCTCAGTCCCATCCCCCGCCCCTCCCTCCAGGCCATGCGTGTAATTTCCCACTCCACTGATGCAACCTGGCCCAGGTGACTTGCTTTTGGCCAATGGGTGGTTAGCATTCGCATCACTAGGAGAGACCTGAGTGTGTTTCGCCCTTGAGCTTGCTCTCTTGTGCTGACAAGAGAACGTGCCTGGTAAGCCTGCTGGCTACGAGTGTGAAAGAAACGGCGGCTGTAGAGGCGAGTTAAGTGATTCCACCCTTGAAGCACCCTATGCAGTAGCTTTGAAGATGAGGGACTGGGGCTCAGAGAGGTTAAGTCACAGATCCAAGATCACACAGCTAGGAAATGCTGAAGCTGAGATTCAACCCCAGGAGGACCCCGCAGGGACTGATGAACCCGGGGACACCTTAATGGGGACTCCAGTCACAAAGCCCCAGGGGGTGGGCTGGGAAGGCCTTTGGGCTCAACTTGTCTTACTGGAGAGGACGGACCCAGCATCTGCAGCTGAGGCCCCGCCCCGCTCTGTGGTTGGCTCTGGCCTAGGCTCTGTGCTGGGGAGGAGAGGTTCTGCCCTGGCTCTCAGGGTGGGAGGAGCCTGGGCCCCAGCTCCTGGGAAACCACCTGTCTGATGGTGGAGGCACATTTGTTGGACTTGGGGGAACCCTCCAGTCTGAGGGGAGAGACCCTAGTTTTGAGAGGGCCCGGGGGTGATGAAAAGACACATATAGCATCGTCCTATCTTGGGGAGGCAGGCCAGACAGCCCCTCCAGGTTGCCAGGGACATGAGGTGACAGGTCCAGGCCTCACACTCCAGGACCGCAATGCCAGGCAGGGCAGGGCCACCCCATGTCTCCCAGACACCCAGCGGCGCCTGCTCCCCAGAGCTCACAGGTATAGAGCTGCACTTCCTCCTTCTGCCCGTCCCGTCCCAGGGGGAGGGCTGGTCAGGGTCGTTTCTGCTGCGAAGGGCCGTGGGTGGGAGTGGGTGTTGGACTCAGGTCCCCCCTGTCCCCAGCTGGGTGCTCGCGACTCCTCACGACTCTCCGGCCTCCAGCAGCCGCTCAGCACAGTCTCCCTCCTCCTGCCACACTGCCCACTCCCCCTCGCCAGCTAGCTATCCTCTTTTCCTCCTTAAACAGGCAGCACATGCCTGCTGGCCAGGCCAGTGCCAGGCCTGGGGACACACACAGTCTCCCCTTCCCGAGCTCACAGCCCTGCACGGAGAACACAGCCCCCACAGCCGAGTCTTGAGGTCATTAGAGGCTCGTGGAGGGGGCGTGGCTCTGGGAAGCCGGGGGCGTGGTCCTGGGCTGTCTGGGGGCGGAGCTTAGCTAACCCAGGGCCTGGAAGGCTCCTCGGGAGGCCACCTGCAGGAGGACTTCCTTCACCTCACACAAGGGGTGGGGTGAGAGTGTCCGGCCACAGCTCGGAGACCTTGCCCTTCCCTCTGCCTGAAGGCTCTTCCCTGGACATTTGCTCAGTCTCTCTCACCTCTCCAGAGGCCTTCTGAGCTCCCCTGTCTCATGAATGAATGAGAGACTGGCAGACTTCATAAATGAATGAATGAGGCTGGAGGTGCCTGGAGCTCAGGCTGCGGGAGGGATCTGTAGATGAGAAGACCGGGGCAGGGGCGGGACAGGCGGCAAGATTGGGGAAGTATAAAGCCCGGTGGGCGATGAGAAGCCACTGGAGGCCTTGGGCAGGGGAGGGGCAGTGCCATGGAACCCTCCCTCACCCCCAGAGCCCACTTACTCCTCACCAACTTGTCTGGGCAGAAGAGTGAGGACTGCAGGAAGGTCTGTCCCTGGTCCTACTGTGTGCTGCAGCAGCCAGGATGGCACCCCTGGAAGAACCGGATTCCTGGCTCTCTGAGGGCCTACTACACACCAGCCTTACAATCAAGTGGGTCCAGCTCTGTCTTTAAGGAATGGGGCCCAGACAGTGCCTGGCACACAATAGGTATTCAACTAAGACTCCTGCCTTTCTCCTGACTGTTACCCCCTTGCCCTCCTGAGAAGGGGGCAGGCTGCTTAGTGGCAAGGCGCTCGAGAGCACACCTTTGGTGCGAGGCTTTGGCTTCTGCTGTGTGATCTGAGTAGACGGCTTCCCCTCTCTGAGCCCCAGCCTCCTTATCTGTAAACCGATGCACTAATGCCGCTTACCATGGCGGGTGTGGTGGCGAGAAGTAGGGTAACGGGCCTGAAGCAGCCCACGCCTAATAAAAATTGCCGTCATTACTAAGGGACCCTTAGCGTTTGTGACGCTCCCGTTGAAAGAGGATCTTAGGGCTGGTCTAGTCTCACCTCCCCACGATCCCAATGAGGAAACTCAGGCCTGGAGACGGGACGACTCACTCATGGTCCCTGGCAAGTCAGCACAAGCTGGGCACGGTGTCCTGGGGCAGCCAGGCCTGTGCGCAGGCCCCGGGCAGAGCACCTTAGAGCCAGGGGCCAAGGCGCCCCCGCCTGCTGCTGCGTCGCCTGCCAGCTAAGAATAGATTTCACAGTGACCACTTCCAACCGTTTTGATGATGGGAAATACTACCTTTGAATTTCAATTAAGCCAAATATTATTTCCCCCCAAAGAATTCTGCTCTTCTCAGCAGTAGACCTGCATCACAAATCATCATCCTTAATCATTACTATTAGATTTTGAGTTTTGTCAATGTAGGAAGAGTGGACATTTGTTTTCTGCAGCTTTGAGTTGCCTCCTGGGCCCCAGAGCCTGCAGCATTTATTCTGGCCCCTGTCCTCCCACGCCCCGCCCTGCCCGGGCCCCCCAGACTCAGCCAATCTCGGGACTGATGACCCCCGCCTGGCCTTCCTCCGTGCCCCGTGTCCAGCCTAGGGCTGGGAACAGGACTCCCATTCCAATGCTCACCCCACGCTGTCAGCCCTCCTGGTGGCACTGCCACACCCACCTGGCCTCGGGACCCAGCGTCACCCTAGGGGACATGTGCCATGGTGGCCTGGGGTAGGGGCTCCCTGGCCCCTGGCTCTCAGCCCCCAGCTTTCCTGTGTACCACCCTCTTCTCTCCACACCCTGCAGGAGCCAAGGCCAGCGTGGGTGGCTGAAATCTCCCCGGTAACAGGCCTCCCCCTCCTGCCAGCCTCCTCCCCTAACCTGCTGTCCCTCCTCCCTCACCCTGCACCTGCTCTCTGGCCCCTGGGCCCCTCCCCCCAGCCCCTCCCACACCCCCACTCCTGCTCCCTCCTTCCCTGGCTCTCCATGTCACCATCTGTGGCACAATCCTTCTCTGTCACTCTCTCTGCCACCCCCTCCTTCCCCTTCCTCCTTCCCCGCTCTCTATCCCTGCCTCTCTCCGCATCTCTCCCTCTCTTCCCTTCTCTCGCTCTCTTTCCTCCTCCTTTTATTCTCACTGTCACGCATTTCTCATCACTCCCCCTCATTCTGGCTTTCCACCCACTCACTGTCCTCTCTCTCTCTCCCTCTCTCTCCACCTCCGACCGACCCCCCTTCCCTCTATCTCTATTGGCTCCTATCATCCCCTGCTCCCCATTTCTCTTCTTTCCTTGGGAGGCTTCTCCCTCCATCCCCACCCCAGGCTCCTGCTTGCAGACCCCATCTGCGTCCCTGCCCTCCAGGACATGTCCTGGAGATGAGGGGGGACGCACCACGCACCAGCGGGAAGTCAGGGCTGGAGACCAGATGGAAGAGGCTCTGTGGGCAGACGTGGCCACTGCGGGCCTAGGAGGGGGCCTGGGCCGCAAGCGGTCTAGAAGGGGGCACTGTGCGGGGACCCCGGCTAAGGGGTGCTCTGGGGGCAGCTGGGGACTGTGCAGGGAGAAGGGACAACAGAATGATAACCAGCTTGGCAGCAAGGAGGGGATCCCTCACCCCACCGACAGGTAAGGAGGCTGGGGCTGCGGGAAGGGGGGGGTGTGTGTCCCAGAGGGTGGGGTTCTGGAGCTCCCCCTCTGCCCAGCGTACATTTGGGAGGTTGGGGCTGGCGGCTGGAGAGGGTGGGGAGGCCCAGGGGGCAGAGGGGCTTTCCTGTGGCCTCTGGGTGGGCTGTGGGGGTGGGGGGCCATTCATCTTGGAATTTTGCACCACAGCTCTCGGATCTGGGAATCGCTGCAGGGCCGTGTCGGAGCTGGAAGCGGCCAGATGCATCGTGCTGCGTGGCCTCCTCCGCTCACGCGCCGGCTTTCCTGAGCCCCCCGTCTGTGCTGGGCGCCGGGCTCTGCACGCTCCCGCGTAATCGCAGCCACCCCGGGAGGTGGGTACGCTTGTCTTCATTTAACAGGAGGAAACTGAGGCCCAGGGGGAGGAAGTGACTTGCCCAAGGTCACACAACTCGGGCATGTGGGGCGTGTTCCTGGGGTCAGCTGCCAGGCCTGGGGTGGGAGTGTTCAGTGGGCAGTGACCTGGGGCCTCCTCGGGGAAGGCCCGGGGCAGCAGAGGGCACAGAGAACACAGCTGGCCAGGGGCCAGCAGCCTGCGTGGTCTGGGCTGGTCCAGTCCCTGCTTCCTTTAAGCCCGAGGCCACCAGGACCAGGGGGCACTGATGGTTTCTGAGTAAACAGAACTGAGTTTGAACTCTGACCTCCCGCTCACCAGCTGAGTGACCTTGTGCAACTTGCTGAACCTCTCTGAGCCTCAACTTCCTCTTCTCTGAACCCCTCCCCCGTGGGCCCTGGGAGGGTTTCATAATGTGAGTTTGAGGCGTCTGCCCAGGGGCAAGGCCCCACCTCGCTCAGAGCGCCACTCGCCGAGCGTCTTGGTCTAGTCCTGTCTTCTGATGTTCTGGGTGCTGTGCTAGGTGCACAGGGTCCCTGCACCCAAGAGCCAGCACCCTAGAGGGGCGGCGGGGGGGTGGGGGGCAGACAAATGCAGAACCGATGGGGCGTCAGGGATCCCGCCCTCCTGAATTGTGTGGGGCTCAGGGCCGCCACCCGCCCTCTCTGGGCTTCCGTCCCCCTGAACAGTCCTCGGAGGGGTCCACCCCCAGCTTTCAGGCAAACGGTGCCAAGATAAGCCAGACAGGGAGGAAGAGCCTCCTCCGGGATGGACTGGATCATGCACAGGATTCCGGCTCCTTAAAGAAAAGGCGGCACCTAAATTGCAGGTCTGGCTGACGCCCCCGGAAAGCTGTTCTTTCCCTGCTTTTGGCGCCCTGGCCCCTTGAACTTGGCCAGGGGAGGTGGGTCCAGATTAAGGTGGAGGCAGGGCATCTCGTGAGGGGGCCGGGGCTCTGGGGGGAGCTGGGCCTAGTGGGTCCCCTGTATCCTAGCAGGACCCTGTGTGTTAGCACGTGTGCTGTGCAGGTGGGTGCACACGTGTGTGACCGGCGAGAGGGAGGCTGTCCTCAGAGCTCACCCCCAGGCCTCCCTGGGGGCATCTGTCACTGCAGCCTGGCAATCAGGTCTGCCCGGCTCACTGCTCCTCTCTTGGGAGCCCAGCACCCCTCCCTCTTCCATCGATGGGCTGGACTGGTCGCCTGGCAGGGAGGCTGTAACGAGGATCTGCGACAGGGAGGCAGGGGGGATGGGTGGGTGACGCAGGGCTCCCGGAGGAGGCCAGGGCTCAGGTCCCAGATTCCACGGTCCCGGGTCTCAGGAGGGCTGGCTTGGGTACTTGGAACGCTAACATTCCCTGATTCAAGGCCACGGATCTAAAAGCCCATGACCACAACTCAGTTCTAAGAATCTACAATTCTATTTCTAGGCCTGCAAGAGTCTAGGGATTTGGGTCTATGGTTCTACTAGTTCCAGGTCCTGAGGAGCCGCGAGAGCTCTAAACAGGCCGGTGGGAGAGCTGGAAGCCAGCTGGGTGGCCTGACCCCCCGTGGCACCAGGCAAGTGCCTTCCCCGGGCCTGGCCTCAGTCTGCCAGCCTGTGAAGTGGGTCCTCCCAGCTCTGCCCCTTCACAGCTCTGTGACCAGAGCGTGTGGACTCACTTCGTTCCCGGTCTGCATGTTGGGAATGGCAGACACAATGCTTACCACAGGGTGCAGGGCGTCACCCGCTTACCCGGGAACCTGGCAGTCAGGCTCAGTGACAAGGAGGTGGCCACACTGCTAGGACCCCATGAGCCACTGCCCAGAGCCCCTCCCTTAGAGATGCGGTCCCAGGCCCAGGGGAGCTGATGAGGGCCTGGGGTGATGAGGACAGGGAGGGGGTACTCTGAGCCCAGCCAGCCTGGGGTCCCCTCAGGGGGAGCCACAGCCAAGGGGTGCTTTGCCATTCTCGGCATCGCCCTGCCTGGCACTCAGAACCCTCAGAAGCCCCAGATCATCAGGCAGGGCACCCAGGCGCGCTCGCCCTCCCAGCGATGCTTGCTCCGAGTTGGGGCACCTGCCCTTTCCCGGAGCTTTGCATCTGGAAAGCAGGGTCCTGACAGGGCAATGCGAACCCCCAGTGTTGGATTGGCAGGAAGATATTGGATCTGGGAGGGTCATTAGGAAGCAGGGGGAGGCCCAGGCCCAGAGGAGGCCGCAGCTTCCAGCCTGGTCTCTAACTGGGCCTCCTGGGAGCCAGGAAGTCCGGCTGAGGGAGGCTAGCAAATCCGGGGGCCGGGGGGGCCTTTCCCGGGGGTCTGGGTCTCCACTCTCAGCAATGCATCCTCCCTCCGTGTTAAGATCTGTCCCCTCTGGTTCTCTGATTCGTTTGGATGGTGCCTCAAACACGGATGCAGAGCTCGGGCTGGTGTGAAAGGGACAGCTGGGGGACCGGAAAGGTTCAGAGCTGAGTGAGAGCGACTCCACGCGTAAGGAGAGTCGAGTCCAGCAGGGGAGCCAGGAGGAGTCCCAGCTCTTCATCATGCATGGGAGGTGTGACAAGAAGGGCCCTAACACAGTACGTGGGAATGCTGGTTCCCACCGTGCTGGGGGACGTGCTCCTACTGATGCTTCAAAACCCATCCTGAAATGCCCTCTTCTCAGGGAGACCTGGCTTGCCAGGGCTGGGGGAGGCAGCTGAGTGAGAGCGGGTTGGCGACCGCTGCTCTAGTGTGTTTTGAATTTCTCTACAAGTCTCCCTCTGGGGGAGAAGGGGCCCCAGATAGCCCTCCCTCCCCAGGTTCACAGCCAGTCATCCTGGGCAGGGTCTTTGCATGTGGGCTGGGGCAGGCAGAAAAAGTCCCCAAGGGCTCTGACTCCCAGGGGAGGGGTACTTCTGAGCCTGTGGTTCTTAATCTGATGAAAGCTCTGGGCATTCAGAGTTTTCGGGGTTCATGGATGCTCTGAAGTTCATCTGGAGACCCAAGTTCAAGGTTAAGGAACCGTGACATGCAGCAGTGTTTTCAAATGTGAGGGCTGAGACCTGGGTGTCCCAGTCCATTTGGGCTCCTACAACAGATTACCATAGACTGGGGGACAGACATATAAACAACCGAAATTTACTGCTCACAGTTCTAGAGGCCGGAAGTCCAAGATCAGAGTGCTGGCAGATTTGGTGTCTGGTGAGGGCCTGCTTCCTGGTTCATAGATGGCCATCTTTTTGCTGTGTCCTCACCTGGCGGAAGGGGCAAGGGAAAGGGAGCCTCATAAGGGCACTAATCCCCTTCATGAGGGCTCCACCCTCATGACATAATCAGCTCCCAACACCACCACACTGGGGGTTAGGATTTATTGCTTTGGTGGGTGACACATTGTCTATAGCAGCGGGTGATCCACGTGGGGCTCCGCGGGCTGGGACCATCTTATGTAGAAAGGGCAGGAGTTGCTTTATGAGGCAATATGACTCCATTGGTTGCTATGTAAAATGTACTGGCATCGAAAATATTTGGAAAGCACCGGTGTAAAGGAAAGGGCCTATGTTGTCATCGGCTGATTGAATGATCCATTGATTCCTTATTGGACATTTGTGTAGCACTCACCCTGTGCTCAGGCGAGGGGACACAGGCCGCGCTGGTCCCTGCCCTTTAGAGCCAGGCAAGCCGGCGCCCCTCACCACACCGTAGCTACGGTGGTGCAGGAAGGTCACTCTCCCTCTCTGAGACTCAGTCTCCTCCTCTGAGAAGTGGGGATACCTTGCTGGCCTGTGCAGCGACGAGCTGGTGCATGACACTCTGGCCGAGCACAAGTTCAGTGTGAGGAGGGAGGGGCAGCTGGGAGGAAGCCATCTTGAGCCATGACCTGGCTGTGTCCTCCCTCCTCCAGGCCGATAGCGGACTGCTGACCGCCCTCCCTCAGCCATGGACCCCCTTGGCTATCCTTCCCCGGTGCCCGCCACCTCGGAACCTGAGAACGCCTCGGCCTGGCTCCTGGACGCCACCCTGGGAAACGTGTCCGTGGCCCCGAGCACGGCCGGCCTGGCTGTCAGGGGCGTCCTCATCCCACTGGTCTACCTGGTGGTGTGCGTGGTGGGCCTGCTAGGCAACTCCCTGGTGATCTACGTGGTCCTGCGGCACACGGCCAGCCCGTCGGTCACCAATGTCTACATCCTCAACCTGGCGCTGGCCGACGAGCTCTTCATGCTGGGGCTACCCTTCCTGGCCGCCCAGAACGCCCTGTCCTACTGGCCCTTCGGCTCCCTCATGTGCCGCCTGGTCATGGCCGTGGACGGCATCAACCAGTTCACCAGCATCTTCTGCCTCACGGTCATGAGCGTGGACCGCTACCTGGCGGTGGTGCACCCCACCCGCTCGGCCCGTTGGCGCACCGCCCCCGTGGCGCGCGCCGTCAGCGCGGCCGTCTGGGTGGCCTCGGCCGTGGTGGTGCTGCCCGTGGTGGTCTTCTCGGGCGTGCCCCGGGGCATGAGCACCTGCCACATGCAGTGGCCCGAGCCCGCGGCGGCCTGGCGTGCCGGCTTCATCATCTACACGGCCGCGCTGGGCTTCTTCGGGCCCCTCCTGGTCATCTGCCTCTGCTACCTGCTCATCGTGGTCAAGATGCGCTCGGCGGGACGGCGGGTGTGGGCGCCCTCGTGCCAGCGGCGGCGGCGCTCCGAGCGCAGGGTCACGCGCATGGTGGTGGCCGTGGTGGCGCTCTTCGTCCTCTGCTGGATGCCCTTCTACGTGCTCAATATCATCAACGTGGTGTGCCCGCTGCCCGAGGAGCCCGCCTTCTTCGGCCTCTACTTCCTGGTGGTGGCACTGCCCTATGCCAACAGCTGCGCCAACCCCATCCTCTATGGCTTCCTCTCCTACCGCTTCAAGCAGGGCTTCCGCCGGGTCCTGCTCCGGCCTTCCCGCCGGGTGCGAAGCCAGGAGCCCCCAGCCGGACCTCCAGAGAAGACAGAGGAGGAAGAGGAGGAGGAGGACGAGGATGGACAGGAGGGTGGGGAGAAGGGCGCCGGGAAGCAGGGGGAAGCCAAGGAGATGAATGGCCGGGTCAGCCAGATCACACAGCCTGGCACCAGCAGGCAGGCGCTGCCTCCCAGCTGTGTGCCCGGCAAGGAGCAGCAGTTCCTGCCCCAAGAGCCTTCCTCGGGGGAGAAGCCGGGTTCCCTGCACATCAGCTGTCTGTAGGGCTGGTGGAGGGCCAGAGTGGCCCAAGCACAGAGCACAGGCTGTGGGTGCGCCTCGGGGCTGCCACCCAAGGTGCCAGGGGCCCGTGATGGGCTGTTCAGATCCCACTGCTGCTGAGACTCGCTGTGTGACCTCCGACAGGTCACTTGCCCTCTCTGGGCCTCGTGTTCTCCTCTGTGACTCAGGGATGGGAGTCATCGGTCTAGACAAGCGCTGCCGGATGAGAAGACTGGAAGGACATGACCGCTGGGCTGACCCTCCTGAGGGGGCCCCAGGTTAAGGGGAGAGGTGCAGACTGGCCGTCCCCTTCAGAGACAGAGCATCCTGGTGGGTTGGCCTGAGTCTGGGTCCTCAGAGGATAAACCAAGGCCTGGATTTCCTGGGCTCAGAGTCAGGTTCATAAGAGAGGGGCTGGGGCCCAGGTTCACAGGGAGCTGGACTAGCACCACCCCCAAGCCCCCAGTAGAAGAAAATCTTGCCCCGTGGGGGGCAGGTGTGAGGCGGCTCAGGCCCGCACCAGCTCCCCACTATTGCTGCAAGGCCTTGAGGCAGCTCTTCTCTCTGGGCTGCAGGCCTCACCTGCTGAGCCACCCAGTAACCTCCAGGCCCTCTTGCCAGACGGTCGGGCCAGGACTCCTGTGATCCTGGACTTGAGAAGAAGCGAATTTTCCAAGAAGCTTGTTAAGTCCAGCTGTAGGGTCCCTTGCTGCTTGGGCCCTCTGAGTCCCTGAGCCTAATTTTGTACTTGGAATTTTGTATCGCTTTTCTTAAAGAGGGACCCCATATGCATAAGCTTAGGCCACCCAAAGCCTAGCTCGGGCCCTGCTGAGGGCAGCCCACGAATCCCCAAAGCAGCTCACTTTGTGTTCGGAGCCTGGAGGGGGGACGGGGGTGTCTCTGGGTCTGTGAGAGCTCACAGGAGAAGCATCCCTGTGCTTCCCCTCTCGCTGACCAAGGCAGGGACCCCACCAGGCATACTGGCACGGAAGGGCAGAGGGTAAGACAGTGAGTGCTGAGAGGAGAAGGAGGAGGAGGAGGAGGGGAGGACAGGAGGGAGGAGGAGGAGGGAAGGAGGACGAGGGTGGAGGATAGATCTGTTCCATGACCTTGGAGCTGTCCTTGGCCCCTCTGGACTGAGCCCAGTTGCTGCATCAATGAAACTGAGTTGCCTGGCCCAACAGTCCCAAGAAAACGATGCCATCAGGTGGAAGAGCAAATGCTCTGAAAGGCACAGGGCCAGCCCCTTGAGGCCGATCAGTGCTGGGAAGAGGGGCTGGGCCTGGCCTGTGCTGAGAAGCAGGGCCTGGTAGAACGGAGCAGGCCTCTCCCCCTCTGAATTCCCCGGGCTGCAGGCTGGAAAGGCCCAGGGAAGACAAGACAAGACAAAAAAGTGGGACCACAGGGCCCTCCCTGGTTTGGCTCAGTGGATAGAGTGTCAGCTTGTGGGCGGAAGGGTCCTGGGTTCGATTCCAGTCAAGGGCACATACCTCCATCCCGGCCCTGGTCAGGGCACATGCGGGAGGCAACCAGTCGATGTGTCTCTCTCATGTTGCTGTTTCTCTCTCCCTGTCTCACCCCTCCCTTCCACTCTCTCTAAAAATCAATGGAAAAATATCCTCGGGTGAGGATTAACCACCACAACAAAGGTGAGACGACAGGGAGAGACCACTGCCCAAGGCTGGCCTGGACCGGCCTGCACTCCCTCCCCCAGGTGACCCCTGAGAGCCACAGTGAGACCGGCCCCGGGGAGGGTGGTACCTCTGGCCAAATTGCCCAAACCCTCCACCTGCAGGGGCAAGGGGTCCTCAGGGAAAGCACACGGACCACAACTTGGGGGACCCACATCTTCAACTCACCTCAGATCCTGGCCAGCCGCGACCTCTCCGGGCCTCAGTTTCCCCATCATAAAATGGAGGTGGCTGTCCCAGCTTGCCTGCCTCCTTGGATTTGGGGAGGACAATAAGTCACATCAGGTAAACTGCCACACACACTGAAGGGGGGGGTGACCCCCTTCTCCTTCACCTCTGTATCTGGGCCTTGGGGGTGAGGACATGACGAAGGTGAACTTGGGGGTCAGAGGCTCAGGGAGACAGGGCCTGGAGGAGTGTTTCACCACCTTAGGGGACCCAGGGGTCCAAGTGCAGAGGCCACTCCACCTTCCTGATTCCTGGGACAGGGAGGGAAGCCTGTTCTGCAAGGGTGGCTGGGAGGCCCCTTAGAGAAATTCTTTGCCGCTTCTGCCCCTAGCTCTCATCAATAAAGATGGTGGCACATGACAACAGCCATGACCTGGGTCAATTTCTTTGCCAGGTGCTGTGTGTCTAGATCGGTGTGCGTGTGTGTGTGTGTGTGTGTGTGTGTGTGTGTGTGTCTAGATCGTGTGCATGTGTGTGTGTGTGTGTGTCTAGATCATGTGCATGTGTGTGTGTGTGTGTGTGTGTCTAGATCGTGTGCATGTGTGTGGGTGTGTGTGTGTGTGTCTAGATTGTGTGCGTGTGTGTGTGGGTGTGTGTATGGGCGTCCATCTCTATCAGATGCTCCCTGAATCCATCTCAGCTCTGTGTGCCCAGGCCTCCAGGGGACGTGGAAGATGCCCCTGACAAGCCTCAGCCTCTCATCTTACAGATCTTGATGCAAACGCAGCAGTTATGCTTTCTTCCTGTATCCAAATCTCAAATCTCATGGAAGGAAGCTGATTGGTCCCAACTAGGGCACATGGTGGCCCCTTGGGCCAATAACCAAAGACAAGGTGATAGAGTGCCATGATTGGCCAGGTGTGGGTCATGTGACCATCCTCCCAGCCAGAGAGAAGGTAGGACTCTGTGATGAATAGTCTGGCTGACCAATGGCGTGGGAGTTGGGTGGGGGACAGTCTACAATGGCAAAGGGAGACTAGCCAGGGAGTCTGGGGGAACCCGGGAGAGTCTCCCCAAGAAGGCCAGGGACCCACGATGGGCTAACGGGAGAGGAGAGTTTGCCCCAAGGTCCAGTGACCTGCCCGAGCTACACAGGCCAGGCCAGGCCCCAGCCTGGGATGGACGTTACAGCCAGGCCTTTCCCTCCTTCTCTCGGGCCAGAACCTCTTCGACAGCATCAAGAGCGAGCCCTTCTCCATCCCTGAGGACGACGGCACTGACCTCACTCACACCTTCTTCAACCCTGACCGCGAGGGCTGGCTGCTCAAGCTGGGTGAGGCACAGATCACTCAGGCACACGGGCACACGCAGGCACACACTCGGGCACACTGGGGGCACATGGCTGACACACACAGGCACACACTCATGTGCACTGGGGCACATGCTGCCACACACAGGCACATACTCAGGCAGACTGGGTCACAGGGCTGACACACACAGGCGCACACTCAGACACACCGGGGCACACACTCATGCACACTGGGGCACATGCTGACACACACACAAGTTGACATGCAACCTCAGGGTGGTATGGAGCCGGTCCCAGACCTCCTGACTCCCGGTACAGCTGTCGGCCTGCCCCATCTCTCCATCCGTCTGTCCTGGGAGTGAAGGGGATGGTGGGGGAGGGAAGGACAAGCAGGAAGAGAGGCAAATGCTGACAGACCCACAAGCCCTTCACCTCCAGTTCCTCTCCCTTCCCGAGGGCCACTGAGGAAGCTAAGGCTCCGTGAAGTGAGGGCACCTGCCGGAGGCCACAGGCAGCGCGTGGCAGATCTTGGTGGGCAGAGGGCGGGGTGTCCCTGAGGACAGAGGGGGCAACAGGATGACAGGAAGTGGCTCGGGGGAGCCTCCCCCAACATGAGGGCCTAGACCTGCAGAGAGGAGCCGTGGTGGGTGCTGCGGTGGTGTGGGCGGCAGCTGCAGAGTCTGGTAGGGGAACCACAGGGCCCAGCCCCGGCCCCCACTCCCACTCCTGGACGCCTCCAGCAGGGACCGCTTAGCCGGGCACAGGGGCCTTCTGCGGCAGGCGGGACAGCTGTGACATGGGCAGAGTAATCACTGGGAGGCTTGACTGTAGCAGAATGGCCAAGCGCTTGCCTCTGGAGCTCTGCCCCTGGGGGGTTCGAATCTCAGCTCTGCAGCAGGGTCTTGAGCAGAGACTTGGTCTCCTCATCTCTGAAATGGGTTTAATAACGATCTCCTCACAGGTGCAATTAATAAGTGATTATTATTTAAAACCCTCTAGAACAGTGGTTCTCAACCTGTGGGTCGCGACCCCTTTGGAGGTCGAACGACCCTTTCACAGGGGTCGCCTAAGAGAAATATAAGGCCTGTCTTTTGGGAAGCAGGACCAGAGAGAGACAGTTCTTTTTTAAAATATATTTTTATTGTTTCCGAGAGGAAGGCAGGCAGAGGAAGAGATAGAAACATCGATGATGAGAGAGAACGGTTGATCGGCTGCCAAAGAGACAATTGTCAATCCCTCCCACCCTCCTCACTCTGGAATTGCCTGGGTTTGAACCCCAGCTCATCCATTCACTGCCTGTCTGCCCTTGAGCCCGTCCATGAAGCTTTCTGTGCCTCGGTTGCCTCTTCTCTGAGATGAAGATAAGAGCACATGCCTCTATTGTTAGGAGCTTTAAATGAGTTAATATTTACAAACAGCTTCGAACAGTGCCTGGTGCACTGTAGCTGCTATGTGTGTGTTAAATACACGTGAGAAGTGCTTTAAGCAGAAGCAAGAACCCATGCATGGGTGGGGTGGACGTCTCCTCGGGAGGGGCATGGCCAGCTGAGTGTGAAGAGGGAAGGAGGCGTGGGAGACAGTCAAGGTGCTGAGAACAGCTCTGACATCCATTTTCCAGCTGAAGACAGTGAGGCCTGCAGAGGCCATGCGACTTGCCCAGTGGCAGCACCAGAGGTAGGAGCAAGAACCCTGTTTTCCTAGCCCCCAGTCCAGTGTCTATAGTTTTTTAAAACTACAATAATGAGGGCCGGGGTATCAGGAGTGATGTTGGGAGTGGAGAGAGCTCTGAAGCCACTGGTGCCAGCTCCTTGGTGGCCGTTGGGCAGTGGCAGACAATGCTCTCCGGCATGACCGGCAGCCCAGGCCCCACGGGACCTCAGGCGCCTCCTACAGGTCCAGCCCCTCCCCAGCAAGCCCTGCAGCCTTGGCAGGCCAGTGCCGTGTGCACACAGGGGCGAAGGACTGGCACACACTCATGTGTGTGTGTGAGCATTGAGGGCCAGACCAGCCTTCACTTTTTCACGGGCTCAAAGAAAGTGCCCGAGCCACACTTGGCATTCTCCAGGGTCCCGGACACCTCAGGTCTTGGCTCAGGCCCTGGGGATACAGCCTGTAGGCAGGCAGGAGCCCGTGCCCTCCATGGCCATCGTGTTCAAGGGGAAATGAGGCCTGCAGTGGGACATGGCCTCTTCGTGCTGCGCTCTGCTCTAATGACCAGGAAATATGTCAATATTTGCACATGGGAGCTGCTGGTCCTGTCGCACTTGGTCAACATGCCCAGAGCCTGTTTGGTTTCTTTATTTGTAAGAGGAGGGCTGACTCTGAGCTCTGGCCTTCTGTCTGCTCTTCACACAGGGCAGGTCTCTTCCCTCCGGCCATAGTAAATGGCAGCAATTACAAGAGGAACAAAGAAAACACAGTGCCCATTACAGTGGCACGTGAGCTCTCAGCCACACAACCAGGTTCGAACTCCAGCGCTACGTGCCTTTGGGTTGGCCTGGGAACCTCTTGGAGCCTCAGTTTCCTCATCCATAAAGTGGGCTCCATACCCCCATCTCACAGAACTGTTGCAGGCCCCGCGGAGGCCAGCGCTGTGCTCTGTGGCCCGCAGGGGGCGCCAGGGACCTCCCTCTCGCCTCTGGGAGCCCGACGCCGCTCGGCTCGGCCAGACTCGGTTTCATTCGTCCCCAATCGGATCCGTTCGGTCAGACTCGGCAATATTCGGCTATCCTCGGCAACACTCGGCGAAGCTGCGCTCTGCTCGGCCAGCTCGGCTCTGTTCGGGTCTGTTCGGCTCCTCCCTGCGCAGGACACAACAGAGGCCCCGCCCCCGCGCGGCGGGTCCGCCCTCACCCCTGCGCGTCCGGTTCCCGTGTGCAGGCCCGGACGCCGGAGCAGGGCCGCATCTCGGCGGTCTCGCCGGCGGTGTCCACGCAGCCGGGTCGGGCTTAGCTGAGTCCTGGGAGGTGCGGAGCGAGGCTGCGGCCAGCGGTGGTCTTTTCCCAGGACTTGAGGACGGAGTGGGCGGCGATGGAAGGGCCTGGGGTGGGGGAGTCACGCCCCTTAGTTTTGCCCAGCTAGCCGGCCGTTTTCGTGGGGAGGGAGCCAGCTGCTGCTCCTGTTTCCTGAGCCTCAGTTTCCCCCTCTGACAATTAACAGGGTCCGGAGGGCCTGGGACGGCGTGGGCCTCTTGGGGACTCAGTTTCCTCTTCTGTAAAGTGGGGCAGTTCGCCCAATTCGGGTTAGCACCTGTTGAACCAGTCATGGGTTGCAGAAAGCCCAGGATGGAGAAACTGAGCTCAGAGAGTGAAGTCCACCCCGTTAGTCAAAGGAGGGGCGA